GGTTTTATTATTGGAACATCAGACATAATAAAATAATATTAAAGTTATTTAGAAAATATTTTATATTTATTATTTTATATGAATAGAAGTTATTCGGATTATATTGATATAATAGATATAGTAGAAAATACAGAACAAGTAATACTAACTGATAATAGATTTAAAAAAGTATGCTATTTTGTTTTAGAATTAATTAAGTTTGTGATGCAATATATTAAAAATATAAATATTAATATAGATGGGGAGAAGGAAAAAGAATAAGACAGAATCAGTTGTTTCTTCAACTGATGAAGAAAAAGAAGAAATTGTTAAAGAAACATCAGTTATTGAGTTTGCTTGTCCAATGTGCAAAAAAATCTTAGAAATGAAAAATGAATTAGAAATACAAAAGAAAGGAAACTGTAAATGTTCGTGTATTCCGACAAGTTTCAAAATAAGTAGAATTGATAAGAAAATGAATATTGATAAAACTAAAGACAGTATAAACTTAGAAACAGATGTTCATAATATTGCTATACGATTTGGGAGGGGAGTTACTCCATCAGATAATGGTGATAAGGAAACTCAGGAAACTGTTAAACAAATAATGAAAAATTAGTTTTTAAAGAGTAGATTTAACATAATTGCAACATTTAGTTTTAAAAGTTTAGTTTTATAATTTAGTATATATGGAGGAACATTTAGCGAACATTGACAGTAGTTTAGAGTTGTTGTTTCCAAGATTAGAAAAAGTGTTGGAGCAAAATGAAAACATATTGAAAATCTTAAAGAGCATGAATATTAAACCTACATATGATAACAATAACAATTATCAAGCAAAAGAAGTAGATAGAGACAGTAGCGAATACAAAAATAAACGAAACATTTATGTTAAAAAACTGAATGAAAAAATCATAAAAGAACCTAAACAATCAAGTCTGGATTACTATCAAGTCAAGTATAAAGAAGACACCAAGAAATACGTTTAATCATTAACTAACAAAATTTCGTGTCTCAAAAGCTGTTTGTTTATTTCTGCTACTTTGTAAGTTTTATTACCCATAATATCATATTCAATTTTATCGATATTGAATATTTTATTAGACCATTTAGAGTTATACTCCTTTCTGTCGGTGTAATTACCCCTTTTCTTTTGAAACACTTTTACCTTGTCGTTCTCCACTATTCTGGGATACTTTCTTTTGTTTTTTTCTCGTAGTTTAAGATTGACCTTTACATTTATTTCATTGTCGTCCTTGTGTGCTTCAGACGGTGTCATCCTTGTTGATGAGTGTGATGTGCTGTTATACTGTTTCAATGCTGGCGCTAGGGCGTCGGTCCATTTCATGTTGTTTAAAACACAACTCTCTATGTTCTGAAATTTGCACCACTTTTGTTTTTGTTTTTTTTTTTTTTTTTTTTTTTTTTTTTTTTTTTTTTTTTTTTTTTTTTTTTTTTTTTTTTTCTTTTTTTTTTTTTTTTTTTTTTTTTTTTTTTTTTTTTTTGTTTTTTTTTTTTTTTTTTTTTTTTTTTTTTTTTTTTTTTTTTTTTTTTTTTTCTTTTTTTTTTTTTTTTTTTTTTTTTTTTTTTTTTTTTTTTTTTTTTTTTTTTTTTTATTTTTTTTTTTTTTTTTTTTTTTATTTTTTGTTTTTCATCGTTCTAATTAAACGCTCGGCCACATTTGCGTGGGTCTTCGTGACGATGTGGTTTATTCCTTCACTGTTGAAGAAATCCTGAACTTGATTTTTAGTTGCAAACGCTCCGTCGTCATCAGAATACACGGACATCGGATAACCCATCTTTTTAAAGCTTGTTCTCAACGCCTTCAAAACGTGCTCTCCGTCTCTTTCCTCCATTGGTATTACATCTGCTAATTTACTGAAGATGTCAATCACGACTAAAGCATACTGTGGAACGAACTTGTCTTTTGCTAAAGGTGACATATGCATTATGTCTATTTGATATTCATATCGTGCGAATGGAGCGGTATAGGAATTAGTACCTCTATAATTTTTGATTTGCTTATTTGGTTGTTTCTTTAAGAAAGACTTTACATCGTCTAATGTTATTGTTGGGTCTTCTTCCTTTGCCTTCTTGTGTGTCGCTTGTGTGCTTCCGAAACCCTCGTCTAAGTCGTAATAGATGTTGCTGATTATTTGGTCTTTTGTTAATCTCGCCATTATATTAAATTGTTAGAAAATATTTTTTCAATATAAGCCCCCACCCCTCAACATAAAATAAAAAAAAACTACTTAAAGAAAAATGGATATAATATAGTAAGAGAAAAAAAATGACACTGTTTAATTATGATAATTGTCCTTGTAAAAATAACAAATGTAAGTCTGTCGTGGCACTAGCTAATATTTTACCTGTTGATGTTTGTAATCTTATAGGTGGTTATATTAAACCAACATGTTTTGATTGTTGGTATTTGAGAGATGAAGAAGAACATTTTATGAGAAATAAAGACATTCCTGAAGAAGGACTGGAAAAAGCAGAACTTCAATTACATGTTATTAAACTAATGCAAAATAATGTTTTTACTCTACTAGCAGAAAACCAATATAGTATAAAAATAAGACATTACAGAAAACACATTGACCGAGTATTTGATATACAAGAAGTTAAAGAACGGTTTAAACATAGAAAAATGTATTATCAAGCTTTAAAATCATACTGTAAGAATAATGAATATGAAATTTGTATCATTTTAAAAAAATGTATTGACATTGAAGCTTTAAAACAATTTAAACGTTGTAGGCTTAGCTTTCCAAACCTAAACAGTTCGTGGTCATATAGAAATAACAATTATTATTTGAGACATATTCTTAGCGAATTAATTGAAATTTACATAGACCAATTAATAAAAGGATACGAGCATTATTGTTGTGAGTATAGTATGAGTTGTTATAGTGGTTGTATCGCTGGTGAGATTGAATTCGGGTCAAATTAACTTTTGTTTCTTAATATTATTATCTTATAATATGATTAAACATTGTTTTATAATCTAAAAAGAAGGTTAAGACATTTAAATTAAACCTGAAACCCAGACCAGCCGACCAGCAACCCCTAGCCAAAACTACTTAAAGAGAAAAAACCTTATATATTAAGAGAAAAATGAGTGGGGGTAAAATGTCAGATAATAATTTTATGGTTGAGAATTGTGATAGCTTACCTGTTGATGTATTAAAAGGTATCATTTCATATAAGTTAGGGGAACCTGAGTAATTGAAAATAAAACATAATCATATTAAGACATTAAAGAGAATACAACAACCATATAAAATAAACAGAACAGAAACAAAAAGAAAGACAAAGCGTCGAACTGCTGTAGGTGGTGATGATATAAAGAGACACGTAATTGAGTATTACATTTCAAGAAATAAACCTTTAAGCATTAAAAGCATTGAAGATATAGTTTTTAATGAAAATGAAAACTTAGGTTGTTTGTTAGATGGCATTGAAACCGATAACAGTTATGGAGAAGTTATAATAGTTGAGGTAAATATGTTTGTAGGTTTCATCATTTCAATTATTATGAAGACAATAAGTTTAGTACTTTTAGTTTTTATTTTCGTAGTGATGATGTTGTAGATAATATAAGCATAGATAATATAGCTGATGTAATGAGAGTGGCGCATCAAACAACAGACAGTCGTATGGAAGATGCAAGAAGTAGAATGAATTTTGAAGGAGTACAAAACATAAGGTTTAAACTAATGGTTGATGAACCTGTGTAATTCATAACTAAACCATAACCCCTAGCCAAAACTACTTAAAGAAATATTACCTTATATATTAAAAGGAAAATGAACGGTGATGGAATCAATAATTATATCAATAAAAAATGCTATGATTGTTAAAGAAACTATCAAATTATTTATTGAAAGTAAAAAGTTTAATGTTCAGAATACAGTGAGAGATGTTAATATTATTTTTAAAATGATGTATGAAAGAAGTAAGACAAACCAATTAGATTATTATCCTGAACTGAAATTATAATGTATTATTATCCTGATTATTATCCTGAACTAATAACATGTAAAATCTTATATGTTATAATTATACTGAACTTTTAACCTATAAAACCCCTTAAACTTATCTAAATAAATAACCCCTTAAACATATAGAGACCAATGACAGACAAAAAGCAATGTTCCAAATGTAAAGTCTTTCAATTGTTAGAAAAGTTCAACGAAGGAAGACAACAATGTAATGTATGCTTGGAGAGCAAACGGCGGTATAGAGAAGCACACAAAGAACAAATACAGCAAAAGTCAAAGGAGTATTACGAAAACAACAAAGAGCAGATTGTAGAGAAGAAAAAGACATATGAGAATAACAAAGACACTATACTGGAAAAGAACAAGATTTATCGTGAAAAGCATAAAGACGAAATAAAGCAAAAATCAAAAGAATATAGAGAAAAAACAAAGAAGACATAAATGAAAAACAGAAAGACCCTATTACCAATTGAAAAGTAGAATGTTGTCCTTTATGTAAATGTTTGGTAGGAAAATACAAAAAAGAAAAAAAAAACCACCAAACAAACAAGGGGTAAAGCACCAACTAAGAGTGAAGGTTCAAGAAAACATTAACGAACGATACTGTGAGAGATTACATGGAAACAACAAGTGACTTTGAACAAGAATAGGAATAAGCAAATGAACCACCAACACCCCAGAACAAAATAACTACTAAAAGGGCTAACTCTTTCAAATGAAAAAAATGTCGGCCCCCAGAAAATCCACCCCTAACACCCTACAACAAAATATGGGATGAAATCAAACAAGGATGTTAAAACGTTGGATAACAACATTTGACCCAATAACCCCAACACTCCTCCCTCTTCCCCTCAGGCCCCCCCTTTTCTCCATTTTTTCCCCTCCCCCCCACAAAAACAGGGGCACCCTTCATCCCCTTCACCAAGACAAGAAGATCCAAGATTTCGGGGCCCTTTGAAAACAGCGCCTTTTGGACCCAAAACGCGCAAGACATGCGCCAGGGGTGTGCCGAGGCTCAAGGTGTCGCCGGGCCGGATCCGGCCGGCCTCTTCGGCCCGCCGGATCATGGACAGGGCTGGCCGGTCCTTGACGCTGCCCGCCGGGTTGTCCCCCTCAAGCCTCGAGTGCAAATGCTCAATGAGTTCGAGCACTACTAGCCAAAAGACACCACAATTTCAAAATTTGCTGGTCAGATATCAGGGAATTAACCCGAAAGAAACCCATCCAAATAGTAAAGCCCGGGTGAGTCTGCTCAAAACTTTCTCCCTCTGTCTGAAAGGGACTTCCAAGATAGCAGCCAGTCAAAGAAGATTGTACACCACGTAGAAGGGCAACAACTCAACAATTCGCGACTACTTTGAAAGGTTTGCTCTTGGTTTGTAATTGGAGAATATGCACATATCCGTGAAACATATGTACCAAAAGCCTTTACACTTCTGTATTGTCCGTTCTGGCTTCCTCGAGGTGTTTGTTCTGTGTTTTTACTTCATCATGGGGAAACCGGGGAAAACCTCGAGAAGACAAGAACAAAGCACAAGGTGTTTCCGTTTTCTACTTCCTTTCTATGACCCGTCTGTTGTGTTTTCTGAAAAAGCCTGAAAGAAAAGTCGAGAAAACCCAAACATATCCAAAATATGTTAGACATATGGCAAATATAACTACTCGGAACTCACATGAATTCTAGTAGACTCTGCTAGAACAAACTAGCAAATGAGACGCATGTACCACACATATGCTAGGCATATACCGCATCAGATGCTAGGTCATACAGGAAACACGTCGCGTCGCATGCTAGGTCATACCAGACATGTCTAGGCATATGTCCCACACATACAACGCTAGGCCTAGCCCATGCTGTGCATATGATACACGCATGCTTAGGACAATGCTGGGCAGATGACCCCCGTATTTGCAAGCCTCCTGGCCTCTCTTCTGATGCTCACTGCACTAAAATGACAGGTGCTTTTGGGAGGGCTGGCCATATACACATTCGTATGTATATATATATATGTATGTAAATATATATATATATAGACATATATAGAGAGTTTACTATATACAGATACAATATACCATATTGTATTACATTGTATCATATGATATCATATCATTTCCTATCATATCATATGATATTCTATTATGTAAATATACGTGCAAATGATAAATACATAACAGTCTTGACATGCGACGACCGTTACATGTCGGTACAAGGCCTTGAGCCTAGCCCATGCCCGCAGTACAAAAGATTACAACCGTGCCGTGTCGTTCACATCACAGGTCCAACACTTCAGGTCAACAGGTTCTACATTCACAACATTGAGTTTAACATGGTAGCGGAGCAGTGATACAAGATATCACCACCACGGTTCACAGGAGAATGCAACACCTTCGAAGAATGGAAGTACAAGATGACAGCGTTCTTGGGATTACAAGACCCAGCATACAACAGACTGTTGACACAGTCAGCGCAATCAACAGGACAAGTTACAAACGACCAACTTGAGAATGCAGCACCTTCACAAGCAGTAGCAGAGCAATGGGTACAACTGAGCAACAATCTACACTACCTCTTGGTGAGCACATGCGATGGACCAGCCTCTACAATTTGCAGGCAAAACGCGCAAGGCAACGGATTTGAAACATGGCGGCTGACACATGCAAGATACTCTATACCACTTGGCACGCGAAGCATTGGGCACCTAACAAGGTTACTCAAACCACAACTTGATGAACAGAAGTTCAAGGGGAGCTTCACAACATGGGAGTTTCAACTCCAGGCACGAACAAGACAACAACACACTACTACCAGACGCAGTCAAGATTGCAATACTGCTCAACGAGACAAAAGGACCACTACAGCAGCACCTACAACTTCAAGCAGGAACATCACAACATATGCACAGATCAGATCAATGGTGATCGAGTACTACAGAGCAACAGCATCATTCACCAGGCTACAAGCAATCACATCAGGCAGCAACAATCAAGGACCGGCACCGACGGACATAGGAGCAACATGGTACAACAAAGGAAAATGAAAGAAGGGCAAGCACAAGGCAAAGGCTACGGCAACTACGGGAACAGCTACAGCCACAACAACTACAAAGGAGGAAAAGGGAAGTACAATCAACAACCGGTTGGACAAGGAAATCCATTCCAAGGACAACATGGATATGGCAAAGGAAAAGGATACAGCAACAAAGGAAAAGGCAAGGGATACTACAACAACCAACAAGGAGGAAAAGGAGCTAAAGGACATGTTTGCTACAGATGTGGACAAACAATGCAGAGTGGCGATCTACAACCGTGACACAGCAACTTTTGACACCAATGACCAGACAGAGGACTGGTACAATCAGGCACACTACGACAACAACTGGTATCATCAGGATCAGTCACAGATGCACCAACTGGCGCTACCACAATCACCACAGGTAGCAGATCCATCAGCAGTACCTATCTCAGGATTACACGAAGTAACCATCGCCATGATTGGCACCACCAGAAGGCAACAAATGGGTCAGTCTTATGATTGACAGCGGTGCGGCTACACATGTGTGCCCGCTATGGTTTGCCTCACACTTCCACTACACCCACGAGCACATGGCACAGGGCCACAACTGCGAGCAGTGACCAACCAGCACATCAAGCTTCACGGGCACAGATGCGTTTGCACGACAAACCACAGTTGACAACAGATTGTATACCATTTTACGTTTGTGAGGTTAAACAGCAAGGCTGGTGGAACAAGGTTTCCAACTTACACTGGATGATAAACCCAAGACTACAGCACATCAAAGGCTTCAACAGCGCTCTGGAGAACAGAAATGGCCTGTTCTTCCTACAAGCAGAAATCGCAACATTGCCAAACGGAACAAAGCTGCAGATACACAACACAGAACAAGGACAGATTGGCATGATAGCGCCGACCACAACGCGTACACCACAAGGTCCTGCAGACGCAGGATGTGCAGGAGACTACTGGCAGTTCAACACACAAGAAGAACTTGTCAGAGTACGCAGGCAATACAGCAAGACACTTTTCACACCATCAAGAACACAGTGTCCAGTTCCAGCAGAGCAACTAGAGGATTGCAGGAAAACAACAATCAGGTCCAAGGACGACGCAACAAATACATTTGAGGACAAGTATCAAACAACAGAAGATCCAAACAAAGCACAACCACAGATGTGGAAAGGCAAGACAGCCTTCAGGATCAAGAAAGACACAAAATTCCAAAAAAGCTACAGCAGCAGTTTACAACAAAGACACAGCCTGGGAGCGAGCCACAGAGGACCACACCACAAGTGATTCACTGCAACCCACGAACGAGGTTGAGAGAGAAAACAACACCACCAACACTACAGGAGTCAGCAGCACCAAGGTGCAGCTGGACAAGGAGTTCCACATCCTTCAGAAGTGCATCCTGGAGGAGACTACTGGTACAGAGAAGGCCCATACTGGAAAAAAGAGTACATGTTGAGCCTAGAACTTCGTTACATACCACAGCACACACAACACGCCAGACATCAAACGACTCATACCTTGGAGACAGACCAAGGTACAACACACAAGATTGGTAGAAGATGAATGAACAACACAGCCAGCAAAGACATCAGACAAGCCTTGGACAGGCTGGTCAGAAGTCAAGCTGATTTGGCAAGGCAGCCTTGCGCCGCCTTTTGAGGAAGTCCAAGCCGAGATCACGCCTGGGCTGCTTCGCAAGCCCATGCGTGGAATTGGAGGGGCAGTGCACAAGGCCGCCCCCAGGCAGCGGGTCCAGGAAGTCCAACCGGGCAAGCAGAGGGCTGATTTGGCAAGACAGCCTTGCGCAGCCTTTTGAGGAAGTCCAAGCCGAGATCGACGCCTGGGCTGCTGCGTGGAATTGCGCCATCTACTTTGCATCGTTTGTGGGAGGGGCAGTGCCTCCACAAGGCCGCCCCCAGGCAGCCGGGAGAGCCAGGTAAGTACGAGTTTTTTGCACAGGAGGAAGCTGATCTGGCAAGGCAGCCTTGCGCAGCCTTTTGAGGAAGTCCAAGCCAAGATCGACGCCTGGGCTGCTGCGTGGAATTGCGCCATCTACTTTGCGTCGTCTCCACAAGGCCGCCCCCAGGCAGCGGGGAGGTCAAGCCACACAAATTCCAGCCCAGACAAACAAGGCAGGCTTGCAGGGAGTTGAGCTTCATTTGTGCTCCGTGAACTTGTCAACGGCTCGGGAAGAGTCTCACCACAGTTGCAGCTCGCAGGGTCCCAGGAAGCCTGGGGGAGGATAAGCTGTTCGCGGTTCTTAAGAAATGTGCAATGCGGAGTTTGCTGAAGCAGTGCCTCCGTGTAGAACCCAAATGAAAAAAGGCCGGCTATCGATACTCAGAAATGTCGATACTCAGGAATCGCGCAACTAACGCTTCAAAGCCGCAGCTTCCTTTTGGGCACCACGGTCCTTTCCAAATAACATGCATCAGTAGGTCTGAATTGCCACAATGGAAATGGAGTGAATCATAATCAAAAAGTTTGAAATGAAATGAGCCCTAAATTTGTCCGAACACACATGCGTGATGTTTGCAGTCTAATTACAGCTCTTGCTCCGGCTGGCCCGGAAATGGGAGACCCATCCGAAAAGGCCTCGCAATCCCCTCCCCTCCCACCCACCCCCTCCACCCCCTCCACCCCGCTCCACTCCACTCCGCTCCACTCCGCTCCACTCCACTCCACTCCCACTTCACTCCGATCCACTCACAGAAGAGCCAAAGGGGTCGGCGGACATGTTTGCAAAATAGATGGCACATGTTTTTTGCCTCCGGATTTTTGAGCTAGTAGATGGCACACTTCGCCGGATAATTGAAGATATGTGCCAACTGAGCAGGGACAGTTTTACTTCCCCGCGCGCCATCTACCTAACATGTATGTCGTAAATGTGCCATCTATCTGCCGGGTAGTGTAATGTGGCGGGTGAACAAAGCCATTTATGCCCTACGATCATCACCAAAACAATGGCCAGACCACATAGCACACATTCTCACAGTCACACTTGGACTTGTCTTGTGAGATGCACAACAGAAAGCAATGTGTACAGATCAAAAGACTGTCAGGTCTACATCATGATCTAGGTGGACGATCTCCTTTTCATAGGAGCACAGAACATCATCAACACGCTCTTCAGCAGGATGCAAAAGGAAGTTCTGCTGAGACACACAGGCGACCTGACAGTTGGATGAACAATACATTTCCTTGGCAGGAACATTTCAGACATCATCCGCAACCCAGCATCATCACCAGGAGTACCACACATGAAAGGTACAGGAGAAGACGAAGCACCACAACAACAACAACAACACAAGAAATACAGGCGGCTTGTTGGAAACATACAATTGCTAGCATACACACGACCAAACATCAGCTATGGGGCAAAGGAGCTAGCAAGATCACTACAAGCACCAACACAACTTGACAACAAGAAGCTCAAGCACATGATCAGATACCTTAAAGGAACAAGGTACTCGCGACACAACTTGCGACCAAGGATACAAACACAGGACAAACGAAATCCACTCAACATTGACACATACACAGCTGCCAACTGGGCATCATGCGAGACAACAAGGAAAAGCACATTTTTGGAGCAGCAGTACACTATGGCAGCAGAACACACGCAACAATAGCACTTTCATCAGCAGAATCAGAACTGTACGTAATTGGCACAGCGGCACAGGAGAGCCTCTACACCAGCAATTTCATCAAGGAAGCATTTGAGGTACGCACCAACATCAGGATGCACACCGACAGCGGCTCAGCAAAATCCATAGCAATGAGAAAAGGTACATCAAAGAAAGCAAAACACATCGAACTACGACACCTCTTCATACAACAACTTGTCAAAAGCAAAATCATCACAATGCACAAGATAAAATCAGAAGACAACCCGGATGACCTGCTAACAAAGCTTGTCAGCTGTGACACCCTCAACAAGCACTTGTACAACGTTGGCCTGTGAGGCCACATCACAACAGTTTCACACCAGTGAGTACAGTAGTCAGCACAGGTTGTTAAACAACAGGCGCACAGTTCACACATGTTTGTTTTACTACCAAACGGCCGGCGCATGCTCTTTTAGCTTTAGGTTAGATACAGCCACGGATCAACCCTGAAGCCTCTGCAACCCCCTTTTACATCTTTTGGGACAACAACTTTTGCGTGACATTCTGTGCATGTTTCTGACAATGGTTCAGTACATGCTGCAGCCATTTCCGTCTGAGGTCTACAGGAACCTTAGACACTCGGCTTTTACATCAATGGCACATCGCGCATACAGGACCCTGCATCCACAGATGATGGTGCCGGACGGATGAGCCTCAAGATTACACTACGGTGTTGATCCCACTTACAGTGGAACAGTACAACTTCATGATGACAGCTGTTACAACGGAGCAGAACCAGGTACAAAAGATCCCGGGCTACATCGACGCCCCACACTGGGTTAGGGCCATGACAGCACAGTCGACTTGGGCACATTCTTTGTGAACAAGCTCAGCCTGCAGACAGCCGAGCTGTTTCAGAAGGTCTAGGAGAAGAGATTACAGTTTTCAACCGCGGGTACATCGGACAGGTCTTACAGCTGCACAAAAAGTGTGCGTGGGACCTGACACCTACAGAACGGGCGTCTGGGATTGTCTACAAGCTAACAGGGCACATCACCAACCTGTACAAGAATTACAATTTGACCAAGGACTACATCATCCTTCAGCACATCAATATCCCTACCGAGAAGGTACTGAATACTGAACACAACACAAAGGATCCCCTCAACAGACAGGATCCATGCAGGTTTCTCGATGGCTTTGAACCATCATACATATCCTGCAGTACAGACCATCCTGGAGCCTTTGAAGACAACGGCCATTCGAGTCCATTGTCCAACATGGAATACAGCTGATGGGAAACAGCACGGACCGGATCCCCGGACAGATTGGGTACAGCGACCAACGCTTGAGATTGACAGCGCCATGATTTTGTCACAACATCAAGGATACAAGCTGCTCAACAAAAAGAAGGTCATGGACGACAGCACTTGAGTACATCAAGCACATTTGGCCACAATGGCACACCGCACTCGTGGTACAATTGATCCGACAGCAAGGGACATCGATGTACAGTACATCTGCTTTCTGGCTATCAGTTTACATGCAGTGGTTTCTTACATCATCCGGATCCACAAAGACACTTGTACATTTTTGCAAAGTGTGCTAACAGTCTTGTACAGGTCGCCTACATGCGACGACCGTTACATGTCGGCACAAGGCCTTGGGCCTAGCCCATGCCCGCAGTACAAAAGATTATAACCGCGCCGTGTCGTTCACATCACAGGTCCAACACTTCAGGTCAACAGATTCTACATTCACAACATTGAGTTTAACAGCAAATAGGCTACTTACTTGTGGGGTGGGGACACGCAGCGTTGCGGGGACTATGTTGGCTTTTGAACTCTTCGGTGCAACTGTCAATAAAAAGGTCAGCCTCCTTGTTGAGCCCAACTGGTGAATATTCTTTCTTTGGCTTCTCTGAGAAGCAAGCGTCACTTCAGCTCATGAATCATCAACCGGCCTTGAATGACAATCAAAAAAGGGCAAAGGAATGTCATTGGTTGGGTTCCCTCCACTGACAGCTCAGTCAAGGTCACTAGGGCCCCCGCTTGCAAAGCACCACAGACCCCCAGCTCGCGTGCGCCATTCGCTGAAGTCGCACCAAGGGCGTGTTGCCCACACAGTCCTTGCCGCAAGGCCGAAACTGGCCGACCCGAAAACAGGCACCCTGGTTTCTAATCAAGCAGGGATTGATCAATCCGGGAGCGCGTCGCGCAAAAAATGAGAGCTGGCAAACTGTTCAGGGCGCGGCTAAGTTGATCAAGAATCGTGAAAAGCGGCTGACGCTTGCCAACGAAGAGACAAGTCCAACTGCCCAGGTGGAGTTCTTCAGAAGCTTTTGTAAACCTTGAATACGCAGTAGCATATGTGCCCCGGAGAGCCCAATATATTAGAGCCACTTTGACAAGGACTTACCCGCTCTTCCACTAACATGGCATGACACACAGTCCCTTCAGGAGAGATTTGATCTTCCAAGTACCCTCCCAAAGTGCTGCGGGCGCTTGCACAAATGGCTTCCCTTCCAACTTGCTAACTTGCAGGATGGACGAAATCCTGCACCACCTAAGAAAAAAAAACGGAATGATTCGATTCCCTTTGTAAATGCCAACAAGCAAATGGCTCCCATGGTTTCAGGCGCACATCCACAGCATTGCGAGCAAGACATTGCAAGGTGTCGGCAATTCATTTCCGCAATTGATTGGCGCCATTTGCTGGTGGAAGTCGTAAGTTTCAGACTGTATCCAAAGCCCGGTGCCAACGGAGTCCACCCAAAATCAACTTCAAGCAAGCGAAGCGCTTGAGCAGCCCAAGCCTGCTCTGCCCCCCCAGAGGCCGAGAGAAACATGTCAACAATACATGGTGGAATGTTAAACTTGGGCCCCCCTCCCACCGCTCCCCAAGCTTCACAAGTGATTTGAGGAAAATCCAAATTGAGGAACGGTCTTGTTCTTTCTGATTTAAGGATTTCGATGTCTGCAAGGGTGCGTGTGGCTGACTTACGAAAGGCAGTGAATCAACCCCGCCCCAGCCTCAGGCCCCTCACTCCTCCATGGTCTGCAGCGCAGACACATCCAAGCCAGGCACACTCACCACTCCTCAGGTTGAGCTCAACTCTGGTCCGTTTATCTGACACCTCCTTTACCTTTGTGTCTGATTGGATTTGGGTTCAAAAGCCAGGCAACAATCGGCCCTGAAATGCCCGAAAAGTTGATGCCCGAACCGCGTCATTGTCATCAAAAATCATACTGACTTCCAGATGAGCTGACTGAACGCTCTCGGATTCCAGTCAGTTTCATTGCATTCATGTTGATAGGATTGAAAAGGCTGGCCAGTTGACATGGATTAGCCCTACCCACCATCTCTCGTGCTCCCAGGCTCCCCGCGCCGTGGAAACCAAGCCCTGCAGCCGCAAGGGGCGGAGGGCGCGCAAGGCGGAGAAAGCCATGGCAGGCGCCGCGCTTCCAACGCCTTAAAGGGCACTTAGCCTCAGAGAAAAGGACAAGTCTGCACCCAATTCACCTTTTCGCGCCTATTTCGGTGTTTTTGGAACCTGACATGCGTTCTTGCTGGTCAGTTTCTGGTCTGTTCTAGCTGGTTCCTTAGGCTTACAATTGCACTGTTTGACTTGAACTGTTCCGAGGGAATTCAGACTTCCAAACCCAAATGCCGCATACCGGCAATCTAGGTTTTTTTGCAGCTCCCCTTCACACATGAAATAGCACCACCCGAAACAATCAAACAAATGAGTTCCTGTTTGTAGTGTTTTCTTGGCTCTTTGTATCGTTTGCGGCGCTTGGGATTTAATGGCACACGAACTCAAACCATTAAACGTCTGAATGCCACAAAAACACCAAGTGGTCCACGTTTTGTTGTCTTGGTTTGCTCTTCCTCTGTTTATCTGTGGGTCTGTCCCAAAATCGATGAACCCCTCTTCAAAACGACGCAATGCCTCTAAGAAACGCAACCGCTCCAAAAAGACAGAACACGTTCTGTCAACCCCAGTATGTGTTGGAAACCCCAACAGTGGCAGAACCAGCTACAGTTTCAAGCTATCCCAAAAAAGGGGTCTTTCCCGACTGGACAACCCATTCACAGCAATCCCCCTGGAGTGTGGGAAGCAAGCTTGCAACTCTAGTTTATGTTGCCCAGGTGCAACCTAGGGACTGCCAACAGCACTTCCGTTCTGTCCGTACTGTGTTATGCAACCTGTCCGACAGCTTCTACGCTCAACGACCCACGACCCTGCTATGCGTCCGCCTTCCCTGATAGTGACTTCCACCTGCGGAAGTCAACTTATGCAATCTTGCGGAAGAGGCAAAGCAGTCTGCAGGGACATTCGAGCCGGGCAGGCCGAGCCTACCCGTGCGGCATCTGGGCGTCGGCCAGCAGCGCTGACGGCAGATCCGGTAGTGCGGACATGGACTTGTCGAACAATGCTGCAAGTTAGAATCCTGTTCACTGCTTCAACCCAATAACAGGGGGGCCAGCCAGGGCAACCGTGAAGGCGAACGCACCCAAAGATGCAGGGAAGCTGACAACGCGTGTCCAGCCCCTTCTCCTCGGGGCCTGATATCTAACCACCCAGGACGATTGCGTGTTGCGTCCTGCAAGCCCGAACACCGTGCGTGCAAATGGCTGGCCCACTTTCGTGGTTTTGGTGGCCCAGCAAGATCCGCGCAGTGCGTGCGCAGTCAAGTTCAATTGGGCCCATGCGCGTGCGTTGTGTGTCTCCAAAGCGCATGCTGTTATGAGCAGCCAGCAGAAAGGCGCCTAGGGTTATACACCTGTGTTTCCCAGGCTGCCAACACGCCAAGCGGCGGTGGCAAGGCTTCTTTCCGCTCCTGCGGCTGCTGCGGAGACGCGAGTGCTTTGACGAGCGGGTTTGTCGTTAAGGCCGCCAGGATGTCTATCTGCCCTATTCTTGCCAGCCAGGACAGTGCTTTAAGCATGGCCCGCGGCAACATGCGAACACTCTGGCGGTCTTCAGAGCAAGCACAGGCGTGCATGAAGTCTGCCACGTGCTCCAGCAGGATGTCAGAACTGCTCATAGAATGCGTGAAATGCAAGAAGATTCGCCGCATCTAAAAAAATGTGCCAGCGTGGAAGGTGTGAAAGCTCTCAGGGATGCTTCGCATGCGGCTTGAGGCGATTGCGAGGCTTGCGCTGTGGTGATTTCTGTCCAATTGCTCACACTTGCTGCGCTGGCTTGCCTGCAGAGCAGCGTGAACGCCTGGCGTTTTTGCTTGACGTGGGCCGGAAGGGCACACATGGCTGCCGCCTGCTTGGCTCTTCATTGGATACGACTGCGCCGGGATGGTCCGATTCGTTATGCGGCTTGATCAAATCTGCGACGCTGCGAGCATGCGGTCTGCGCTCTGGGAGCAAGAGTGGAGTGCAAGGCGGCGCGCGCCACGGAAACAAAGGTGCGTGCTGCAAAACGGCCAGGCCGCCCTGGCGCGAAGTTGGGGCTCCTCTGGACTGCGCTAAAGTCGGAGTGAGGGGTCTTAGTTTATGCGTCAAATGCTGCAAAGAGATTTGCGCGCCGCGAGTCAAGGCTGGCGCTGGCTGCGCAGGCATGGGTGCAGCTTCACTGCGCTCGTTCTCGGGCGCCGGCTGCGTGTCAGAAAGGGAATGCACGTGAAGGCTGCTATACAATCGTCTTCAGTTTCCCTTGCTGCGGACCATTTGGGAGCGACCCCAATGTTCTCGCTCACGGGGCACGAAGCGAACGTCCGTCTCAAAGATCCGTGCCCTGCGGGTCCACCCCTCATCGTCCTTGACCTTCACGTTCAGGGCAAAGTTCGAGGTGATGGCAAGCGCGCCCTTGGGGCGGAACGACTTGGGCGAGCGGCGCAGGGGAAGTCATCGGGGCGCCTCCCTGTTCCGAGAACGCCTTCAGGAAATCCACCTCCAAGGCGGAGCCGCTGGAGCAACACAAGCAGTGGAGAAAATCTTCGAAGGGGAGCTGCGAGAGACACAAAGCGTTGATCGAAATTTCCGGGAGGCGTCCATGTGTCTTGGAGCTCTGTTGATGGATGTGTTAGACAACGTCTTGTGATTTTCAACATGCTTAGCACCGTGGCTAGTTCGTTGACTTCGCCAGGCCAGAAGGGGGAGGGATGTGGCCGGAAACAGATGTTCGCACTGCGTTAAAAAAAAGAAAGAGAAATATTGTTTAAACATAGTTGGACATCCATCACATTAAGCAATGTCTTGGTATTCTCCGCGTGGCCAACGCTACTGTTGCTAGTTCGGTCAGGGAGGGAGGGGCCGTACAGGTCCACAGTTCCGGCGGCCTGGAAGCGCGCGCCGAAGTGGAGCTTGGCGGTTCCGTTCGGGGGCACGCGGTACACGATGAAGTTGGAGGCCGTGCCGAGTCGGTAGCGGCACGTGAACAGGGAGGGAGGGAGGGAGGGAGGGAGGGAGGGAGGAGGGAGGGAGGGAGGGAGGGAGGGAGGGAGGGAGGGAGGGAGGGAGGGAGGGAGGGAGGGAGGGAGGGAGGGAGGGAGGGAGGGAGGGAGGGAGAGGGAGAGGGGAGGGAGGGAGGGAGGAGGGAGGGAGGGAGGGAAGGAGGGAGGGAGGGAGGGAGGGAGGGAGGAGGGAGGGAGGGAGGGAGGGGAGGAGGAGGGGAGGGAGGGAGGGAGGGAGGGAGGAGGGAGGGGCAAGAACTTTGCCTCTGCCTCCCTCCTCCTCCCTCTCCCTCCCGCGCACAACCTTCCCATACCTACCCACTCAAACCAGCAAAAACACGTGTCTCCGCTGTTCCTTGGCCAGGCGCATTGCTGCAAGCGCTACATCTTTTGAAGCAGGTTATGGTGTAGCTGTTGGGTTGCAATGCTCCATTCCTCCGACGCAGCGATGCGGCGAATAGAACCAAAATACCTCCTTAATTGCCAAGACTGGAGGCAGGCAGAGGCTTGCTAACAAACTCAAGATTGACAGACACACTGTTCTAACGCCACCGCAGCCGCTCGCAGCCAAGAGTCTGTTGGCACCTTTCCGATGCCGGATCCGTGCACCCATCTTTTGGGAAACACCACACTTGAGATGTATACAAAAATAAGAACCAATAAGAAATAGATGAAGATGACTATCATGAGGGTGATGATAAGAGTGAGGTGTTATAGCAGTAGCCCGACATGATGTTGGGGCGATGACAACCATGATGACAATCATCACTATGCATCCGCAGCAGTCACGATGATCATAGTCATTATCATCATCATCGCAACGTCTGCCAGTGACAAATTCCGAGGGGAATTCAAATAAGTCCAACGCGCCGGCGACGCTGGTGCTGCAAAGGATGCTATGATGATAGTTGACGCATGGGTTTTTCGACCTTTTCGAAACAAAAAGGAGAGCATTTTCAAGCAAGCGCGCCGGCAACGAGGGTCATAAAAGAAAACGGTGATGATCTTGAGGGTAATGATGATAAGGATAAGCACTGTCATGATACCTACCATCGTAGCATCCTCTGCAAAAAAAGATAGCGGACAGACGAGATGGACCGTATCTTGAGGCCGTGGTTGACCTGTGAAAGTAAATGCTCGCCTGATCGTACCTGGGTTCAAGGTCTTGGGGAACCTGCGCAGCGTTCGCCGACTGGATCAAGGGTGGCACAACACCTGCTCTTCTCCATTGCGGCAAAGCACATAAATTGGCACTTGCTCAGCGCTAGCGTGCGGGCCGCGCTTTTGAAGGAAAATCCCTATGTCAACCGGGAGCTCTACATCACCAGCAGCGACGACGTCAAGCGAGGACCGGGCATTCCCCTCCCGGCTGGATGTCTGGCGAAGGTGCTGAAGGGCGTCTTCGGATTAGCACGGCAGAATTGGACCCGAAGCACGCTGGATGGAGCTGTCTGGCACCCACCCCGTGACCAAGAATCCGACATGATCCGGAGACCACGGAATCCTGATCAGGAGATCAAATCCGGGAGCGCAAGGCCTTGAAGGGCCTTCTGGCAGTCTGCAGTAGCTTGCAGCGCAGTTGCGCGTCGACATCTCCTTTAGACTGAGCAGCCTGCACGGGGAGAAGCCGACGGTTAGGACCGTTCTCCGAGCAAACAAATTGGTGATGGACTGCAAGCAGTTTATCGGAGTGGAACCAAGGCAGGGATCATGGTGGTGACCGATATGCGGCTTTGGGCGCCTGTGGAAAAGGTGCGCTCACAGTCACGCAACGCGGTGATGCTCGCCGACAAGAAGCTGATGAGTGGGAAAACTGGGGAGCTCAATCTCTTGGACTTCCGGAGTCATCGCGCCGGGAGAAGGCCTGCACGCTGGAGAACTTTTACGAGGCTTTGTAGCAGAAGCCCGAGATCAGAAGGACGCCTACCTTCGGATAACGGAGGCGCCGTTGCTGCGGGTCACGGACGCCAAGGACACGCACGACAGGCTGACCAAGGACACCGAATTTGGTGTTCAGAAGTCCTTTGCAGCGGCAAGCCTGAGACAGCACCTGCAGCGGCCAACACAGCATTCCGCTGGACGGCC